CCTGGGGGTGGGGGAGCTCCCAGGGAGCCTGGGGCCGGGGCCAGGGCCGGGAAAGAGACTGGCACTGGGGACTCTTGACTCACATATCAGGGGCTACCGTGAGGTTTTCAAGACAGTTTTAAAATTATAGGGAGAGAGGAAGAAAGATTAAAAATTAAACACATAGGCCAGGACTCACCAGTGATGTCGCTCCTTGTGGCCCGCGGCTCGAAACCCATGGCATATAAGTCAGACACAGTGACGGTGCAGCCCTGCCTGCTCAGCTCCTCCACGGCCACGTTCTTCAGGGTCGCGTTGAACGACCTGGGCTCCTGGTGAGCGTAGACGATGAGCACCTTCTTCCCTGCGCGGCAGAATGGGTTTCTGGGTAGGGGGTAAGGGTCATCCCAGCGCAGGCCGAGATGAGAACTGACCCTACGTGGGTCACTGCAGTTCAAGTTGAGAAGCCGTGACTTTTTTAAGGGGTGGCAATTTTAAAATAATGAACATTTTAACAGTTCATTGTTCATGTTAGGGCATCACTACGCTGGGCTGCCAAATGCATGGTTAGTATCCCTGCCTGCAGTGCTTGGGACCAGAGTATTGTAGGGGAAGTCTTTCAGATGCTGGAATACTTGCATAGACTTTATAGACAGAGAATTCCTACTCTGAAAATCTGAAATGGGAAGTGTTCCAAAATCTGAACGTTCATGTTAAAAATTTTATTTATTTATTTATGTTTGTATTTTAGAGACGGGTCTACAGGGTGTTAAGGGTGCTACAAATTTTAGATTCTGGAGTATTTTGGTCACATGCGCAAACCATCTCTGGGTTGCTGATGATCAGTGTATGCACACAAATAACAGGACCCAGTTGTGTTTCCTAGAGACACCAGAGCATACGGTTGAGTCCTGCAAGAGCCCGCTCTCACTTGGATAGCTTCTTCAGACACACCCCCCACCCCTGCAGTCCTCACGGGCGTGGGGGGTGACTGGATCAAGGGGCACTGTCCTCAGCCATGGGTGCACTGAGTTCAGAGCTGAGGAGCTGGTAGGAGCCCAGTTGGAGCCTGGTCCCTGGGGCGTGGCCTGCAGTCTGTTTTCCGGCCGCCCCGCCCTCCCCTCTCTGCTTCCTGGCAGCCTGATTGAGTACCTTTTCTTCTGCCATGTCCTCTGCCACCACCTTCCCCCTTGGGGCCACCACCGTGGTCTGAAACCCTGAGCTGCAACAGACCTCTCTTCCTTTAAGTTGTGGATACTGTATGTTTTGTCCTAGTGATGACAAAGTGACTAAGGCATGCCTTATAAGATCAAATTAAAAGCTACTAGAATTAAGCTTTTGTCAGCGTGACCAGCAGGCACCAGCCATGAGAACCTCACCTGACACATTCTTCCATCTCCCTGGGGTCACCAGAACCTGGCATTAGCCGTGAGGCATTTACTCTTAAGTCCTTTGAGGAAGATGCGCTCTGGGAGGACATCTTCTGGTTGAGATGCCATACAGCAGGATGCTCATGGCCAGAACCTGCATCATATCCTCCAGCAGCCTTCAGTGCATGGCCTCTCCCTTCAGAGCAGCCTGTGTGATTACAGACTGGTTCTTCTGGAAGGAAGCTGGTGATTTGCCCCTCCCCCCATCATCTGAGGCTAAAATGTTAAAATTCTTTTTTTTTTTTTTTTTGGCGGAACCAGGGATTGAACTCAGGCCCTTGTGCTTGCCAGGGAAGCGCTTATTCCACTGAGTCATCTCCTGGGCCCTAAAAATGTTAAATTCTTAATTTAAATTTTTCAGTCTAAATCCACAGTAGCTAAAATATGGAACTAGCTTAAGTGTCTATCAACAAAGGAATGGGTAAAGAAAATGTCATATAGATACACAAGGGAGTAATGTTCAGTCACAAGAGCAAAGTTACGCCTTTTATAGGACAGTGGGTGAAAGCGGAAATAAGCCAGGCTGGGAGAAACAAGTACAGCATTCTTTTCCTGATAGGTGGACTCTAAAATGAATAAACAAAAGACGACATCAGTGTAGAAGAGATGTTATTACTACATAAGAGGAGGGACTATGGGAAGAGATATCAGGGTGGATAAAGGAGAGAGGTATGACCAAAATGTGTTACATATCTGAACATGTTTTTCTCTAGGAAGTTGAGAAAAAAACACGAGCTTGAAACAAATAGTTTTGAAGTATGTGATTTACTAGAAAGGTTGAATTGTATGAATTCCATTAGTTATTAATTTTTTAAACATCCTGAAACTCCAGTGTTGTAAGGAAACTACTTGGGGCTTACCCATAGAATGGGTACACGCAAAATACCTACACCAGCATTTCCTAGCTGGGCAGGCTGCCGATCTGGGACGTCTCTTTAATTTTGGGTACATTTTTTGGGTACATTTCTGAGTGTTACAACTGGGCGCAGGGGCGGTGTTACTGGTATCTAGCTGGGAGAGTCCAGGGATTCTGCTGAGAGTCCTATAAAACACAGGGCAGCCACCCAAAAGGTTATGTGGCTCCAGCTTCATTTGTGCCAAAGTACAAGCATCTCTATTACAATGTAAGATGGACTTGTGTGTTCTAAAGTGAAAAGATCCCTGGGTTACATAGTTGAGTGAAAAAATAGGTGGCAGAAGTATGTGTGTGTGGGTGGGGGGGTGTATGTGTGTGTTTATGATGTGGGTATTCAAGATACAAAAGTAAAGATGGGGCTTGGGCTGTAGCCCAGTGGTAGAGCACATGCTTAAGCGCACATGAAGCTCTGGGCTTGATCCCCACCACTGGAAAAGAAAAATAATAAAGACATTATAATTCAATAACTACTTTTTGAGGCCCTATTCTCCCCCAGGGATGATTACAGGGACTGGCACGGTTAAGACAGGGTAGGCATGGCCCTCATTTTAGAGAAACATCCGTTGGCGGGGGCAGGGGGAGAAATGGGCACTACCACAAGCAAATACAAATCAGGATAACTGCACACAGCGCTCACTGTCAAACAAAATGGGTTTGTGTTTGGATTTCTTTTGTAACAAATGATGCATTCCACTTATTAGAAGTCTAACTCCCCCATAACAAGCCATCACCTGCCATGTTGGGGAAAGATGGACTCTCTCTGGTTCAGTGTGGTGGCCCTGATGTGCAGGTGTAGTTGCCTTCCTTAGTGACTGCAGCAACCTGGAAGAGAAAAACTCAGGCAAGGGAGGAAGGTAGAGGGGAGGTCAAGCCTTACTTAGTCTAGGCTGCACTGTGGCCTCATAGAAGCAAAGTAGGCCAACTAATGGGACAAAAAGCCTTCTCCAGGTAGGTGTCTCCTCTGGCGACACAGGCCTTGGAGGCCAAATTACGCAGGATGTCAAGACCAGTACTTTCCACATTTCTGAGAGGACTTAAAACCATCTGCAAAGGCAGCCTTAGAAAGGAGAACCTAGGAAATGAACAGCAGGTGGGAAGTAGCTGTGCTTCGCTGGCCTCCTAGTCTCTTCAAGAGTCAGGGTTAGATAACAGGAGGCTGGGGAGATGAAGGGCAGGGCTGCAAACCTGCTGCTGGGATGTGAATTCCTAGCTGGCGCTGGGAGGCCAAGGGGATGGTACAGGACGGTACTAGGTGCCACCAGGTGGTGCCACAGAAGGGACTTGGTTTAGACCTGGTTTCCAGCCAGCAACCCCAAAAGTTTCTCCAGGGAGGAGGCCTAGTAGAGACTTCCCACTGGGGAGCTTGGTCCAGATCCCAGGGATGTGTAACCGTGAGACCTGCAGCACTCCCTTTCCTGCTGTGTGCCTCAGCCTTGTGGCCCACAAGGGCAGGCTGGGGTAAGAGAGAGGGTACCATCGATGGCAGCTGGCACATGACCTGATTCCAGGGGCTGGGGCCGGAACTGTGTGCTTAGCCCTTCTGGAAGATACTAGTTTTCTCCAGCAAGCTTCGAAGGTGCAAAGGAGGCCTGTGTCCTTACGCCAGGGCAGCCTTCTGCAAAACAGCACTTATGCCGGGGTGCCTCCCACAAACCCACCAGCACTGTTGGAGAAAACAGGTCAGGTAAACTCAACCAAATGCACAAAACTCAACTCAAAGATGCACAAAGTGGGGGCCAAGATGTGGCTCAGGGCTAGCATGGGCCCTGACACAGAAAAAGAAACAAAAAAACGGCAAAGGACTCGAATAGACCTTTTGCTGAAACAGACACGCAAAAGGCCAATAAACTGGAAAACCACTTAACATCACTAGTTATTAGGTAAATGCAAAGCAGAACTACATGTAATGTACCACCTGACACCCATCAGACTGGCCACTGTCACAAAACCCAGGAAAGAACAAGGGTAAGTGAGAAGTGGAGATTGGGACCCTTGTGAACCACCGACGAGGAGGAGGTAACAGCTCAGCTATGAAAACAGTAGAGGCTCCTCGAAGAATTAAACATGAAGCCGCCATGCCATCCAGAGATTCCACTTCAGTGCATAAACTAGAATAAAAGTGGGGTCCTGGAGAACCATTTGTCTACCCGTGGGCACAGCAGCAGTCTTCAAAGGCCAACAGGTGAAAGCCACTGTGCTGGGTCCTGCCCTCGTGTGGAGGCTCCAGAGGTGGACAAAATAAATATAGAGCTTAAGACTCTTGGGGAACAGATGAAAGAAAACACAGAGAAAGCCTAGAATTCCAGTTAGAGATTAAGTGCCAGTGATGACACTAACAGTGATGGCCCTAGAAAATGAAGTACTTGGCAGGGGTTCGCTTCCTATTTTATATATAGGCAGGCCAGAAGCCACCATCCAACAAGGAAGCGAGTGGTGATGTGGAGCCAGCCAGGCGAAGATCTAGAGGAACAGGGGTGCTCTGGGTAGACCAGCCAGTAATGGCTGAGACTGGAACTGGCCTGCACAGGTGGAGGACAGCAAGAAAGGCAGCGTGGCTGGGCTGTGGTGAAATAAAAGTCAAGGAGCTGGGTGGAGTCTAGCCGAGCTGAGCTCTGAGGCTGGAGTTTATCCTAAATTTAACAAGATGCAGCAAAAGCCTCTTTATCAGGAGTGTGGGGCAGCCTGGTAATAGCTGTACAAGGTTCTCTCTCGCTGTACCTTCGGACTCCAGCACCACCACGCACTGTGATTCTTCGAGGCTGGGGCCAAATCCCTCAGGCTTTCAGCGTCCAGGCCTCCACAGCCTACCCCTGGTGGGGCTAGGTCACAATGCCCATCCCCCCTGGCCGCGTGACAGGCATGCTGGGAACCTGAATTGTGACTCTCTAAATCCTGCAACGCACCTCGGGACATAGAATAGGAAACTGGAGCCCTAGAAATAAGGGGTTTGTCAGAAGAACAGAGAAGTGATGAGTGCACCTATCCAGAGCTCGCCTTTCTGGGAAACTGCACTAAGCCAGGTCTGCAGGGAAAGCTCCCGCGGCAGCCAGCGCGCACGGATACTTCCCAGTAATGTCATGGCCTCTGGATCAGCACCCAGCAGGCCTGGATGTTTTCACTGAATCTTTTCCTCCGCTGCTTCCCCAGCCTGCCCTTCCTCCAAGGGGCTTCCTATTGCTCGGCGTTTAGTTTATTCTCATTCTTTCTCCTGCATGATTCTCACGCATTCCTTCTCATGCATTTCTTTGGCTGAGATTTACAGATATCAGAGGCTACAGAAGCTCTTAATTTTGGAGAGAGTAATGGTTTGAAAAGCTGATTTTCCTCTGGATCTTAACTACGTCCTTGGAGGGGGTGCTCAGGTAGTGACACTACTGCATCCCACGCAGGGGGCTCCCCACTGCCCTCAAGGTGTAAACCAGCATCCTCCTCCGCCGGGTGCGGAGGCCGAGGAAAGAGGCCGCTCAGGTCCGCACGCTGGCCAGGCTCTCTGCTGCAGGGGGATGGTGAACCGCAGGATTTTCAAGGTTGCGGCAGGAGGGGCTCGAGGAACCACGCCATTCAGCCAAATTACAGCTGGAAGAGATTTCTGCTTCCCTGTACCCCGGGAGCGGTCCCTCCCGTGCCCGAGGCCCCACAGGCACTCACCCTCCCGGAGCACGTGGAAAAACACGGAGTTAGGCCGCACGGTGCCTTGGGGGTGAGTGGCTTAGTGCACCGCGGCTGCGCCCTGGGGACCAGGGGCTTGCACCCGCCCTCGCCAAGCCTGACCACACCCTTTCCACGCCCACACTCGCCTGTTAGGCCTTCTTCCTTGCGTGTAACTCCCCCTCGCTACGCCCTTGAGCAAAGAGGGCCTCCAGACTCCGCCCACTCAGGACACGCCCACACGCCGCCCTCTGGCCACGCCCCTTCGCAGCTCTCCCCGCCCCCTACGCCGAGGCTCTACCCTGAGCCCGGGTCAGTTTCTCTGCTGCTTTGGCAGAGGCAAAGTTGGCCCCAGGTGGGTGTGGTCTCCCTGCTTTCTCACCCGTGCCACATACATAGGTTAAAAAGTGAGAGTCCGTGACGGAAGTGGTGACGCATACGTGTAATTCCTGCACGCTGAGAAGCTGAGGCAGGAGAATTACTAGTTCTAGCCCAGTCTGGGCTGCTTAGCTGTTTAGCGACTTTTTGTCTCGGGGGCGGGGGGGGGGGGGATAAACAAGAGCGGGGGAAAATAGCCCTTTGCAAGGCTATTTTCCAGTGTGTGTGAATCCATAGTCCATTATTATTATTATTATTAATTATTATTATTATTATTTTGTGGAACTAGGGATTGAACTCAGGCCCTTGCACTTGCCAGGCAATTGCTTATTCTACTGAGCCATCTCCCGGGCAATCGTCCTTTACTTACTTGGCATTCTGGGATATCTAGCTGGGTGAGGCTCGCGACCCCAAGGTTTAAGTCCTGTGCGATGTTTCTGGACAGGGCGGGTTCTGGGAAGGAAAAACAGCTTGGCAGTGGCAGAGGTCAGGCGGGGAGGGCGCTTGGGGTGCAGGGAGTGCTCAGCGTCCGTCGGAATGAGGGTAAAGGAACGTGGAGCCTAAGGCATGGGTCGATGGAAACCCTAGAGGCTCAGGGGCTCCCCAGCTGGTCTGTGCGCGTGTCTGGAGCCCACCCGGTCCTGATCCTGCTAGACCTGCTACAGCTGCGCTACCGTGTGGCAGCGAGAGAAGCCACCTGCGGGCAGAGGGAGAGCTGTGGGCTGAGATCTGAACCAAGGGCGTTGGTTCTCAGTGCCTTAGGAGGCTGGCCTCAATATGAGCACTTCCCGCTGATAGAGCTGTTGCAGTGACTGCAGTCGCGACGTGGCCACGTGTGTATCTGGATTTTCAGATGATCATGCTGTTAAAATCCATACTGCAGATTTAGCACCCAGCTTGAGTGACCCCAACTTTCTATGTCATCTTTAGCTCTGAAGAACTGCAAGAATAGGATGAGGTATTCTAGGCGAGGAGACAGGTCAGCCAGTGGCACTGTTATAGGATGGGGGTCTCAGGGAGATATTTCCAGATTCTTGGGTCCCAAGCAGAGTATCCTCTGCACAGGACATTCAGAGTGGCAAAAGCGAGATTTCTTACAAAGGAGTCACGAGAGTAAGGCAAAGAAGTCAGGGAAAAGAGCTCACTGCCGAGTGGGGCTGCTGTCATTCCAGCTTCAGGTTGATGGCACTATTCTTGGTTATTGTTCCGTACTTACCCGTGAAATGAAAGATGGATCTGACACAAAGAAAGTCTCTTTTCTAATCAAGTCTTGGCCCTGACCTACAGGGGTGCAGTTCTATGCCTTAACCCTAGTGCCATTTTTCTTATTTAGGAAGCACTGGCTTCTATCATTACATATCGCGTTAAGTAGGACAGGAACAATCCCCTTTGTATTCTAACAAACCAAACTTGGTGTGTCATTGTGGACTCCAGAGGCAAGCTGGTCACCAGGGAACTGGACCATGGGAACAATTAAAGGGAGAGGAGAGCAGAATGGGGCCAGGGAGGTGATGAGAGAGGGTGGAGTGAAACACAAGCTCTCCACAGGTGTGGCTAAGCTTAGGATCCATTTGGAAGGTTTGGCATCATTGGAGAGGTACACAACAGTGACCTCACCCAAGCCTAAGCCTAAGCCTAACCCTGACAGTGACCTATGCAATTAATTTCTATAGACTATGATGCTGAGGGCAAGCAGGAGCCTGTGGAGGAAGAGAGGATTTCTCGGAGTGACAGGGACCCCTGTGGGGAGGGAAGTGCAGGAGGTGTTCTCATCAAGTGCCAGGGAAAGGGGCCACCATGCCCAGGAGGGAGTGAAGTGGGCTTCTGTGCCTCTCTAAAGAACATCTGTGTTTTGATGTTCTAACTTTAGAAAAGTTACCATTAGCGGTGCTTGCAGAGTGTGCTTGCTGCATGCCGAGCTCCTAGGGTGCTTCTTGCTGATTAGAACCCCATCGGCCCACCCCAACTTGGCTGAGATATGGTACATTTTGTGAATAAAGCCCCTTAGACCAAGAGTTTCTGTGGCAGCCCTCTGGTCCCCTCCTGCATTCAATAACCCAGAAGTTTTTTGTCTTCTTTTGTTCTCTGGTGAATATGGCTGCTCAATCCTCTTTTCACTCTGCCCTGTGATTCCTTCTGGGTTGAGAGAAGAGCCCAGAAACCAGATGGTAGCAGTGATCTCAGAGCCTAACAGTTAGAAATCTCAGACATAATACATTTTGAGGAAAAACCATGACCCTCAAAGCTTGAAGCCTCAATCAGTAGAATATTTATTCCATTAGTCATTTGTTTAGAAAATGTTTGCTGAGCTCATGTCAGTCACTGTTGGGGTAGAGAAGGATCACTGTCCAGCAAAAACAGACCCTGGTCCCCTAGGTCTCCTGAGATCATGGGTTTGCACCAGCTGTGGAGCAGAGAACAGATTTGAGTTAGGAGTTAGTGCACA